ATACAAGATCAGAGGAGGCTGTGACATTTTTTATTTCTTGTTTGTATGTTTAATCCCGCCATTGTCCAACGCACTTTTGATTAAAACGTAATCACCGATTAGAGGACTCATTGTGAACGAACGGATAATTTGACACGATAATGTCACCGATCATATCTCGCGATTTATTTCGGTGTAACGCGATTTAATTTAAAATCATTCGTCAAGTGGACGGGGACACGTATCTCACAGTTTGTCACCATATCTGTACAATTCTTCCCGCTATTGTTCAACGCGCTTTTGATTAATTCAATATTCACCGTGACCACATTTCAATGTAATTAAAAAATAATTATATCTCAAAATGGAATTAAACGACTCCTTCCTTTGTACGGGGTTTATTAGAAAATTGCTTCATTTGTGCTGGGCAATGACAATGATGCCAATAAACTGATGACGTTATTTTTTTATAATCGATATCTCGATCTAAATCAATAAAAAGAAAATAATAAATTATCCCCATTTCCTTTTAAGATTTTCGAACATATTGGCAGATGGCAAGCTTCTCTGTTCTAATTACAAGGCCTTCCATATTCAAGCCTTACGATCATGTATAGCAAACCTGTCTCGCACTCGGGCATAGCCAAATATGGTACTCGAGTACCTAAGCTGCCCCATACACTGATGACGTATAAGGAAACATTGTGAACTTCCCCCATTCTCTATATTTACGCGCCTCCATTTGACACCGAGACAATATAATATATATATATATTAATTGTTTCTATAGTTACATGGCATTTCCTGATTTTTTTTCGAAAATTTGTAATTTTATTTCGTCAATGATAAAATAAGGATGATCTTTTCTCCCACGTCAGTTGTTATCCGGAAGCGATACTTTTTGCCCGTAGAAAACTCGCTAAGATAACACTTGCGTCATACGTATTTTAAATCGACATATTTCGTCTTCATTTCTCCAAGCAACCAACGGCTCGTCTAATGTCAGATGTACGGCTCGATTACACACCGTCATCGCTGTTCGCAGAGTGATTCAAGTTCGCGCAATTTACAACGGAAGACACGTCATGGAACTACGTTCATCAGTATGGAAATGTTACTTGAGCGTTGTAATACCAATGGAACCCCGGGCGGGTATGGTTCGTCGTCACAGTAGCTGCTTTTTAATTGCAGTCCCCAGGGAAGGGGGTCGAAAATAAACATTTTGTAGGAACCTGAAAAAGTGTTATTAAAATACCTTGCATTTACACCAATACGCACATATTTACAAGAATCGAACAAAACACCTTGAAACGCCAAACTATAATGTAAGATAATTTATATATGAGTGCGTTATTTATAACGAAATTTATTCAAAATAAAAATAAACAAAAAAAAACCAACTACAAAAACAACAACAACAGAATACTCCACAGTACTCGGTTAATTTTGCTAACGCCATTTTCTTCAATGACGTCATTAACGCAACGTGTTTCATTTCTCATAAACACCTCGACCCCTGAACGAGAAATGAAACACTCGTTGAACTTTTCTCCTAGTGCTTGACCCCCCCCCCCCCAAAGCAATTTTATTATTACATATACACAGCTTTACATGGTGTCGTTGAACACAAATGTAACCAAAAAGTGGGTATTTCGATCATGGTTGTTTTAAGCATGGACGTCAATGTAATAATTTTGCGCTATTGAACATGCGCATATTAAGTGAAATGCATCATGGGAGAAAACTTCCCATCGAATATAATTGGTTTAAACATTTCAACAATATTAGAAGATTTATATTTAAATTAATAATATATTCACCACATGTCACTGAGCAATTTTTTTTCACATGTTTTCAATTCGGACTTTTGTTTCACACAGATTGTTCCTTATTGTTCTTTTTTTATTTGTGTTATCATGATGACATGAACCTATAATAATGCATTTCCTCAAAACTCATCAATCATCACTGTTTTCCCTGTTGGTGGTGCCGATAAGATAACAACAGAAAGGCAACTAATGAGCAAAAATGAAAGTGGAATATTAGCAAGGGTCCACGAATTTCATTTTCTTCGCTTAAACTAGCTGAATATCTATGCGCCGTTGACTATAATATCAGAATGTGGGCATAACGGTACTGCTCAGTGACAGGAAGGGATACGAAGGGTCATTCACTCTTGACTCGAAAATGGATGGATATGTCGGCAGATGTGTAACTGCAGCAGTGCGTCAATGTCTATTGTCTTTATTTGCGAAAAAAAAGAAACAGTTAAATTCTTTGTTGAATATAGGTCTTTGTGTACGTTTTTTTCTCTCAAAAACGTAAAGCAATGAACGGAAGACAAGTCGCACAATCTAGCCGGCATACACACATCACACCACGCATGCGTGACAATTAACATTATTCAATATCTGAAAATCAATTATTGAATATAACCATAAAAAGCTTGATGACTACAGATCAAAAGAAAAAAAAAGTGATGGAATGTATTTTTGTGTGTATAAGTTTCACAGGGTTTCCAGTTTGTCGACACGCGCTGAGCCGCACGAAGCGTGATTATGGAAGACTTGGAAGTCCGAGTCTGTGAAAGCAAGTTATTTTCTGTATTATAGCAAACCGTGAAATATCCAAAGATGACATTCAGATCTCAATTACATAGATGTAAAGATGTCTTCTATTATATTAGATATTTTAAAATGTGATTAATCCCATTGTCCTGGTTTGCTAGGTATTTTGAAAAATGCTTCATTAGCTACAAAGTCAACTATACAGCTGGCATTAAAGGCTGTCATTACATGTTTTATATTTTCGTAATTAATTATCTTTTTTGACATTTATCAATTGATAACGTTCCACTCAAAAGCATGCATTCAATTATAGATTTAGTCGTTGCATTAATTTTTCAACAATTTTAATTTCCCGCCTGATGTTTCAATATATTGTTGGCAAAAAATTACAGTATGTTGTCGTGAAGTAAAAAAAAATGTTATTCATTTTTTCAAATTTCGGTTTTCTTAAACAATAATCGATTTAAATTGCTTAAACATTAAAAGTATTGATGTGTGTGTCAGTGGTTACCATGACAATGGCGTCTTTATCTTCGCCCGTTTATTAAACCTAGAACGTGTCTAGTTATAATTAAGTTGTCTTCACTGAGCTCACGACACTGTTATCTCTAGATTCTCTAGAAGAGCTATATTCAGTAAAATTAATGTTTTGGCACATTTTCTTTTACAGAAATGTATGCACAATTTTGAGTATGTGTACGTTCAATATGGAATATGATTGGTATTAAAATAAAAATGTTTTTTTTTTTTTTAACAGTATTCGTACGGCGAAATAATCGTGAACTTCTCATAGACTCCTGCTCTTTGGGTTTATAATACGTACCAATAATATCGAAGCACATGCTCTTTGGGTTTATTGTACGTACCAATAATATCGAAGTACATGCTTTTTGAGTCAATAGTTCGTACTAAAAATATAATGCAATATCGGTAAATACTTCTTATCAATCGATATTAATTCAAACTACGGAGGAAAATTTGGGTTAAAGTTAATAGCACCCCTTGTCTTCAAACATAAATAAAAATGAAAACAAATGAGTAAGTAATAAATAAACATGACATCGTTAATTGGAGCCAAACTCAGTAACGCGAAATATATTTTGTCACGTTTAATCGCGAAGATTTAATATATGACGTCATAGCGCTTGTCCAAAGGGCCGAGCGTTACTACGTTACTACTGACTCTAATTTCCGAGTATACATAATGAATTGTCGGGGGTTCTAAATGACGCAACGGCGCTGTTATATCGAGATATTTTGAACTTAATGAAATCATGGTCGCTGTGTATATATGATTGTGATAAAGCGGGTAGCAAGTACGTAGCTGTCACAACAAGTTGTTCAAATTCAAGAGTTCGAATTATGCCTTTATTTTTTTATACGATGATCCAAGAAACAGAAATCTAGCCGCCGTGTCTTCCTTCTTGTCAGTTATGAATTAGTTGTCATGGAAACGGCGGATGACAACCAATGCCGTGGGAATCAACCATATATTATAAAATAATTAGTGACTTTTTAAAATACACATGACATGATTTCCGAGGACTTCGTGACTCGGTTGAGTAGTCGTCGCCGCAACTCATGAAATATGCCTACTAACATAAGCACGTGGGCCCCCTAAGGTAGTCAAGAAAAAGGGAACAAAATGTCTGTGTGACTCGGGTACGTCTTTTTAAAATTACCACAACAACCGTTTGTAAGTATATTTAACAATTTCATGCTACACTGTGTTGTTTTGATCTGCAGGTGAAGAGGGGGCCCGATGACGTGTTTTAATCGTCAATCGCGGCGTAAGCTTTCAAACGGAACATGCTAAATTTCGAAATCTTAGTTATTTTAGGGGGATTAAATAAATGTCATGGTGGGTTGCGCTAGCTGTCAAAACGTATCAGAAAACATCGAACCGTTATAATAACTGAGTGCTATATCTCTGACTATTTTGCTCTCTAAAGGGTATTATTCTCTTACGGTTCTATTCTTGATATTTACAGTAGCTATTAAGAAGGTCACCAGATTATTCATTATCAGAATCGATCGACTATTATACTACATTCTCAGATCTGAAATTAAAAACCACCATTACAAACTGAAGACGGTGTATACTATGAAATATCAGGTAAACCTGTATTGCAGTGAGTGATCAGTAATAATACGTTGGTAAATTCAGCGTCCAACTACCCTCTCTAATTAAAATTCGTTATTGTTTATATTTGAATTGGAATATAATAACAAAATCTACTCATTATCTTTAAAATTATTGAAAAAAAACGGTCGATTTTTATTCGGCATGATCTTATTCTCGGACAGAGAGCGGCGATTTTAATTTACTACGAACGCATTCAGCATCGACGGTATTATATTTTTTGTAATAACACTGAAATGATTGAAATAAACATGGACGTGAATCGTAGCTTGCGGAGACTGTGAAGGTAAGTCAAAGAAAATATATCTTACCGCTCTTTTGTAGATAAACCCATTTCTCACCGCCACATCGGCGGGACTGACATCAGCTCCATGTTTCATCTGTACTACAAAATCATTTTTATAAACCCGTGTTGATTGTGTGTTAACTACACACGCGGCAACGAACACCAGTACATACACTGGCCATGTTGGAGATGCGACCATCGTCTGGAGACGCGTACTGGATGTAAGTGAGCTCGGAGGTAGTCCTCTTGCAGCGGAGCTCCGTTCTTTTAAGAGTGAAAATGCGACGTTTAACTTGAAAGACTCATCGGTTGTAGCTGTCGATAAAAAAATATATTGTGTCTCGTTTCGATAACCGAGAAGGTGATATTATTCCTCACGGTCCGTCCTCTCCGTTAGTCTCTTTTCCTTGAGTGATTCAACGAGAAAAAATAAATACATTATGTATTAGTCGACAGATGTAAATTTTCTCCCGTCGTTATTATGCAGAGTGGGCGCCGTGCGCTTTTCTCTCACAACATTTGCATAACACTATGTATTTACTATTCATTGATGCAAATGAGATGACGTCAAAGTGCGCCGACCAACATGGCGGAAGGTTACTTTTCAGCTTGAGTTAATAGTGGGAAAAGGTTTTCTTCTTAAGACATTGTTTGACTCGATCGGAAATACATAACAACGACGAGCCATATTAGATATAGTACACTTTCAACATGTGTAAGTTTTAATGGCTGCAAATCAATAAGTTAATATTCTGATTTGGACTGACTATAGTTACACAACATTCTCGCAACTGCCTGTATTCTTTCGAATGATTCTTTGATTATTTTTTACAAATAATAATTCAGCAATTCAATAGTAAATTGTTGAAGCGGTGTTAAAAAATACATTTTTAAAAGCAGATTTTTGTGTTATGCGTCATCTTTATATGACGTAGACCACGAAGACACAAATGACGAATATCACTACCTCCTCTGGGCTTATTAGAATATATACATTTTTTTAATCGGTCTACCTCTAAATGTTTTCAAAACGTAACACAAACATAATGTGGCGGCGATTGTTTTTGTTTTTTATCACTTGCTATGTTCAACGTGATTCAGGTGGGAGTCACTTCCAATTAGCGGTGATTAGAACGTGTGAACCATTCCAATTATGAGCTCGGATGAATGCGGACTTCCATCGGAGAATCTCGACGTCACTAGATGAATATATTAGCCTCATTAACACGGCCATCGGCGTAGTATCACCATGGTAACACACTGACGTGGGGGATGAATCTGAAAGAGGAGGAGGAGTGATTTTCTCAATTTCTTCTCACTCAAAGGCATATTATTGAAGTGTATGTGCGGGAAATGAGATGCGCGTCGTAACCATGGAGACGATGACGTGGGTGTATCTCGGCAAGACTCGGATCTGTGCGGGTGATATATACGTAGTCTTCAAGGCTGTATCTTTTTACTTCCTATGAATAGTCAATCAAGCACCGTGCCATCTCTATGTCGTAGCACTATTGCTTGATGGCAATTTGTTAAATGTGTAGTATTTTTAACGCATTGGGGCCCGCTACTAGTTGATTTGGCTTCGTCTGTTCTCCCGGGCTGTCGGACGTTGACCAATGTAAAACATCTATAACCATAAATTAAACTACCCGGTGACCGGTACGCACGCTGCTATAGAATACTCGCTACGTAATAAACACACAATGACAACTACGAAACATCATCGAGTACGTACAATGATTGGGATGAAGTAAGCAAGGTTACAATATCACAGGCATCCTTTTAAAATCCAGATTTATTTTAAGTTCCCGCATATTAGGCATGTGACTTACACGCGCGCTGTACCCTCCGTCGACATCACGTAATATCCCGCAGGATTGTATCTGTCTATTTCCATTTAATTGTTGTTATTCTCTGACATTTTCTGATAATTACGTTTTGCCTAACATACTGTGGATATTAATGTTTAGTTTTTCATTTTGTTACGTTCATTTTATTTATCCATCACTATGATTATTTCACAGGCATATGAGTGTTTTCCGTAGCGTGTAATTGGTTCTCCGTAATTGCGAAAAAAAGAGGTTTCAGCGTACATTGGGCATTTCACATGTTTGAAGCTATTGTGCCGTGGTTATACGTTTTTCGTGTTAACACAATCAAATACGTTCAATTTTTTTAACACAAATTCGGCAGAAAATCTTCTCGACTACTTTCTCCAATCGAACTCAATTAAAATTTGCACCACTGATTACCTATCGAACTTACAGTAATTTGCCTGTATGTAAATTCATGACACTAAAAAATAAAAGGGAACTATCGTTTCTGTTGTTCGAGTGGGAGAATATATTTTTCGTTACTGGATAAATATGCCCGCAGTACATCGCAAAGGTTCCAGATCTGGTCGTGTTTCATTCGGACCTCAAATTTTGACTTCTTTGCAACATTTCTGTTTCAAGTTGTTTCTAGCATATTCAACACGTCAAAAATATTGACCCGTATTTTATGCATAGATATAAAGTTAAGGTACTACTGCCCCCCCCCCCCCACACACACACATACACATCATGCCGCGTTCAACATCGATATCCTTACGGACTACGGACTCGCAACTACGTTCCCAGTTCTTAGCTTGCTTGGTAATAAACACTATATATTATTTTTTTTAAATTTCGTTTGATGTGGCCGAATATGAATGAAATATTGTTCAAACTTGAACAAAACTAAAACATTTACGAAAAAAAATCAACAGGTGGCTGACCGGCTATATACTATTGGCTGTACACGGCGCACACTGTGTTATGGCATTTTTACGTATACCTTCAAGGGAAAAAATAGTGAAGCACACAATGGGTAGAAATTGAAGTCTGCTCGTAATACTTCACCAATAGGACAGTTTCAACAAACTATATTGTAAGGCTACATTATTAATTCGACGGCAATTTTATGTTACGTCGGTCGGTGATTATTGCGGAAAACGGTCTACGAAGAAGCAAATATCATGATTTCTTACAGTCCCAATTATCTCTGAAAATGTTGCATTTTTTGTTATTTCTAAAATATTCGAGCAATAATTATGGATGGTTTCTTATACTCGTCGAAGCTATTTGTAATGCATGCGCATGCTCAGTTGTATTTAGTTACTATAGTATACTATTCTAAAACATGTGATTGTCCCATCGATAACGTGACGTCATTGTGCACGGTTATTTTTTTCCCACATCATTCATGTGTCCCGTTGTCTCCCATTGTAAATTAAATTCGAAAATTTCATGTGAGATGTAATATTACAGTGTTTTTTTTTTCTTCAAAAAACACAGTATACGCAGAATCGCTTGAAAACAAATAGGACTTTTATACCACTTGGGCATTTTTCCTTCGAATTGGACATTGGAATTAGACAAGTTGGGAAACGGCGCGCTATGTTTTGAAAGAGTACCACTTCGGACAATCATAAATAATTCGATTGTTATGTTATTCAATATCGACATTATAAACCGAGACGTGTTTCTAAGATTGTATACTCGTTTTTATATTTCATTTGGAAATAGTTACTAAAATTACATTTGCGGAAAAATAATTTAAAAATTGCCCATTGAAGGCTTAGTTCTCGGAGAAACGGTCAAGTTGTTGGACTGCAGGAAAGTGCGCGGGATACTCACGCGTTAGTAGTTGGACTGGAACATTGTTGTATCGCCTTTAATATGTACCTGAGAAGCAAAGGAAAAAACAGGTGTGTACGTAAACGTTGTGGATTGAAGCGTTTGTCTCAAGTGTCGTACACCGAATAGTGGCCAATAGTGGTTGATTTATTGACCCGATGTGTGACGTGGTTATATGTCAATATAGCATAACAATAATCCACAAGAGTTGTAATTGTTAATTGTTTTATTAGAAATTGAAAACTGTGGATCGAATAGTATACTGTTTCCATGAGAACTACCATCATATTACTAGTTTAACACGTGTGCACCAGTTCAACCTCATGTCGAAGTTTTGTCCGAATACTTGACGACCGGAAAAGCCGATTTTATCATACACCCTAAATAAGAGGATCTGTGATTTTACTAAGTGAATTATTTCAACGTCGTTCACTATATTTATTGGGATATTAAAAAAATAGGTCGTCGCTGTCATTAAAAACAATGAAAAAGATTATGGATTACTGTCTCATTTCTTCAGTGTGTTGGTTCGATGACATGTCACATGACTACAAACTTCTGATATGATTGGACAATGTTTTAAAATACCCGTATACAACCAATAAATCAAATAATCAGGCGTTGATATCTGCCATTTCACTGCGTAGCGCGAGTGTTAAAAGCTTTTCTGTTGCGACCACGTCGGAATTTCTAGGCGACTGCTAAGTGATAAATTGTCGCTGGTGACTATGGCCACCTGTACACAACATGGCAAATCATGGATTAGAACTATGACTTATAAATGTCCAAAATATAGACTAAATCACTTCGAGTTACAAGGTACTTTATCTGATTTAATTTGCCACTCAAACGTTCTCGGCTTTGAAGTGCATTCAGTGAGTCCTGACAATAACACCACTACTCTCCATCTTAAAACCCCCAAAGATGACACATGCCATGCGTGGATGCTGAAAACTTTGTTGGGAGCTTTTCATTTTTCAATTAAATTTACATATTGAGAATGTGACAGACATAAGCTTTATTCAAGGCCCACATAATGAGGAGAACTTATGAATATTCATGAGCTCCAAACATGACATACTAGTAGTCCGAAATACCACAGTCCCTCTATAGTCTATAGAGGGACTGTGGAAATACAATGTCCGGAAATCAATCAATCAATCAGTATGGATTCAGTCACCCTTTTTGAGTTAGAACGCCGTCTTTGGTTGTTTCTTGTCAGCAGTACTTGTAGAACTTGTACAAGACTGGGTATTTCTTGTATGTAGGATCCTGCATGGCAGTGGAAAAATCTGATTAGTTGAAGCCCATGGCAAATTTGGTTTTGCGACAGCAATATTTGTGACAATGTGCTTTGGTATTTTGTAATCCGCTGTGCTTACTACACATATGGTGAGCTTCCTTGAACAAGTGAGTGCCAAGTCCGTGCTATGAGCGTCGTGCTCAACTATTGTGTGTGAACGCTACTGCCAAGAACTTTGATGACATCCGGCTTTCAATAATACGCATGCTTGTCTTACACCGACATCTTGGGTACGACGGAAATGTTTAAAATAATGACACCCGTATTACAGATACGAGACAGTCAACTAACACCCGTGTATGTTTCATACGCGGACGATTCCAATAAATATGCAGGTGCGTATTACAGATACGAGACAGTCAACTAACACCCGTGTATGTTTCATACGCGGACGATTCCAATAAATATGCAGGTGCGTATTACAGTTACTTAGCTATGTATCGCGCCGCTAAAACATAAATAAATGAAACAGCTCCAATGGTTGACCATTAGAAAACCCATCAAGAGGGAGATGGTGGAACACCTGTGTAACTTATAGTTTTCGTTCACTTAGTTTTGAACAAGATTTAAGTTTCCAGAACAATGTTCAATAATCGTAATAATGCGTGTTTAAAATGAATATATTTTTTTTAATAATTTTCCTGGCGGATTTCCCCAACTTTTTTTCTAACTACATTATTAAAAATCGTTTATTTAAAAGTGTTATTCTGCGTTTCAAACTTGAATTCATTATCGCTCATTTTACTCTTGGTGAAAATAAACGAAAGGATCTAAAGCCCAGTGAAAAATAAGCCCTTTACAAGTATAAATATATACCTATATGATATACATGTCATTCAGTAAGGAGGGCAAGTGCTAACCCTTATAATGGAAATGTCAAGAACAAAATATTTAAACTACTTGACTTTTGTGATTATGTTTTCTTGATTGACGCAATTAACAGAGAACACAGTACAGCCATGACGTCATGACAACGCATAACGTAGAGCTAAAAACGCTCTATGGTGCGGCGTACCTGGGTTAAAACAATCAGTCCAGGAAACTGGTAGATACAAACTAATCTATTCGAATAGCAAATTGGGACTTAAAAATGGAAAGTGAGGCATTTTTTATTTGTACATGATTAAAAATGGTAGATGCAACTAAATTCTGTGCGCTATCTAGCAGCTCTATCTGTCCCAGTAATGTTCCTCTGCTCTATTATTCCCAGTGCGCTGTCCAGCAGCTCTAACATTCCAAGTGCCCTGTTTAACAACTCTATCATTCCTAGTATAGCAGCTCTACTACCCCAGTGCGTTGTCTAGAAGCTCTACCATTCCAAGTGTGCTGTCTAGCAGCTCTATCATTCCAAGTGCGCTGTCTAGCAGCTCTATCATTCCCAGTGAAC